GCCTTGTCCTCTCCCACCTCAAGGACATCACCAACCCCCTGACCCTCTACAGTTCGCCTACAGAGCCAACAGATGTGGATGATGTGGTAAATATGGCTCTCCACTTCATCCTCCAGCACCTGGACTCCCAAGGAACCTACGGCAGGATTCTGTTTGTGGACTTCAAATGACACCACTCTCATCAGGCTCATCTCTGGAAGGGACGAGTCTGCTTACAGGTGGGAGATTGACCACCTGGTGACCTGGTGCAGTGACAACAACTTGGAGCTCAATGCTCTCAGAACAGTGGAGATGACTGTGGACGTCAGGAAGAGCCAAGTGCCACCCACCCTGTGTGGCTCTCCATTGGACACCATGGAGTAATTCTGTTCCTGGGCACCTTCATCACCCAGGACCTGAAGTGGGAGCTGAACACCGGCTGCCTCACTAAAAAAGCCCAGCAGAGAATATACTTCATGTAGCAGCTGAAGAAGTTCCACCTGCCAAAGCCTCACACGACAAATTTTTTTTCCACGATTGCTGCTGGCCTCATCAATAAGGCCGGGACCCTTTAACCGAACTGCACTGATGTCCCTGCCTATGCCTGTACACTTTAACTTCCCGTGGAAAATAACAGACTAACTGTACATTTTGCACCATACCTCCCCTGGTTCTTACAAAATTTTAATTTTTAAATGTAACTTTATTTACTTCCTCTTATACTTGCAGAAACACACCACAGCAAATTCCTTGTAGGTGTAAACCTGCTTGTCAATAAACCCCTCCTCTGATTCTGATTAAAATCTTTGTAGACGAGAGAACATTTTACCATAGAAGACGATTTTAAAAGACATTTTTCAAACTGTGCACTGAACTCTTTGAATGATTTGTTGCTATTCAGCGTGTTGTGAGTTTCTATCCATGAAGCTTTCATAGTTGTAAACCTACTATCTAAGAACTAATCTGCTGCTTTGTTTACAGTATCCCTGCCAGTTAAATAAAAACTTAAAAAGTAAACTTTTTTCTGTCCGAAGTCAGCCTCGTGTTTTACACATCACAGAGTGCTGCGGCGACTGACATCACAAGCAAAATAACTTCTGGTGTTTTTCTTGGTGAGGAATGATGAACTGCGAATGAAAACCAGTAGACCCGTCACTCAGACCAAACCACTGTTGTTTATTGAGGAAACTGTATTGATAGCAGCTGAGTTATGACCATATGCTAAATGATCTGTGACCATGACCCATGACCATGCCCTCCCACCCCTACTTTCCCCGACCATACCGGGCCTGTCTGGAACACTCAGCCCAGTTGGTCTTCATTGTCACATCAGTCCATGTGTGTGTCTGTGTGTCTTTTTTCTTTCTTCCTTTCTATTGCAATGTGTTGCATCAGCCAAAATGGTTGAAGCTTCACTCGAGGCAAGCTTGTTGAAGGAGATGCTCTGCCCCTGCTGGCAGGTTGCTTTTGTCCTCGCTCTGCCAGGAATCAGGATGACTTGTAGAGGAAGTAAGTTTGACAAGTGTGTTACAAGTGTCACTAATGTTAGCGAGGTCCAAAGCTTCCTCTCCACAGCTTTGCTCCTGAAAGAAAAGAGAACCTACTTCATTTGAAGGAATAGCTTTTGCTCGCAGAGAAATGATTTAAACCAACTCCTCAAACTCCATCATAGTAAACCTGTCATATTTTACTCTTATTTTGCCTGTTCTGCTCCTATTTCACACACTAGATCATACACGGCTTCCTGGAAAGCAGCAGCTGTACAGTTTGCCCGAATGCTTCAGTGGACAAATGAAGGTTGCTGGAAGAAAGGAGAGAAGCCTTGCTTTGAAATCCAAATTAGCACAAGTACAAAGGCAGCCTTGGGTTGTCTTGCGACCACTCTGCTAGTTAGCCTTCTGTTTTCCTCTTCTTTGTCAGAGTTTTCAGCTCATGCTACGATACATATTCATCCAGCTTCTGCTTCAGCCCTTCCTCTGATTTTGCCTGACAAATTTACAGAGAAAGACTGTAAAAAAAAAATGTCTAAGCATTATTCATTTGGCGGAAGCTTTTGACGTTGACAGAAATTTAGTGCCCTCCGTCTTGCTCAAGGACATTAAGTTAGTGGACAGGAGGAGCTGGTGATTAAAAAAAACTATGATTAACACTGAACCTGTTCTAACATCTGGACTGCAGCTAATCCAACATTATTAGTCCCATTAATTTTTATATTTGATTAAATCAAATAATAATAATAACTTAACAACTCTGGATATTTATTGAGCTTTCAGCCAAATCTTGTGACCTTCATCAGTGGAGTTACAGTCACCCCCCATAAATACAACCGCCTGTTGCAATCTGAACAAATTTGCTAAATTAGGTCACATCAGTTGATAACTGGAAAACACCGTTTTTTTTCCAAAAAGACCTCAAACACACTGCTAAAAATGCTCAACACATACACACAAGACATGATGCTAGGACTGAGTATTAAGGCCACTAAAAAGGGGAAAATATCTGAGATTTCAAGAATAAACTTGCAATATTAGAACATACTGACCTAATTACATTATAATAAGTATCAGTACTTCGAAAGAATTGTGCAAGAAAGAGCCACATTGACTTGGAGGAAGTTTTTTCTTTTGTGAGGAGGAAATGTTTATATAATCTATCATCTGTGTTCTGGGGTTACGTAGTTTCTCAAGATACAAGAGAGCAGTTCACGATTTTTGGTCCAGCAGTAAAAATCTGTTGTGCATGAATAAAATCATTATCACTTTTTTCTCATTCAATTATGACCTTTTTCTCGTTAATGTCAGCTTTATTCTCATAAATTTACAACTTGTTTCTCACAATATTACAACTTCATCTTTTTCATTTCTAACTTTTTTCTTGTGTCATTATTTTCTAATTCCTTGAAGTGGGCCAAATACTCCGTCATATGATCCTGATTTCGAAGTAAGAATTATTAATCAGTATTGATAAACCTGACCAGGAAAAATCTTACATTGACCAAAATAAATTGATTTGTACATTTTGGTAAAATTAGTTTTTGTCCAATGGGAGGCAGTAATACATCGAAACACATGACAGACAGATGCACAGCCATCCGCAGCTAAAGCTGCTGCAGTTACTATCTTTATACATGAACCATCGATGGATCAACTCATTATTTGAGTGAAATGCACCACCCTTTGTACTTCAGATCACCTCCACTGAGCCTCACAGCATCTTTTAACTGCTTGTTTCCTGTTTTGCTTCACTTTCAGTTGAGCATCGTTTTCGGAGGCAGAAGTCAACTTTTTCCAAAACTAAACTCTCTAACACCCCACTGTACCCTGCTTGTTTTCAGCAGTAAAATGCAGACAGACAACGTTAACAGCTGGTGAGCACAGAGGAGCATTTAGCAGCTGCAGAGCCAGATATTTCCTTCAGGAGCTAATGGAGACATTGACTCCAGATGAATGCCAATGTTTCTTCCTATTTGCTGGATTAGCCACTGTTTGCAATATCAACCTAAAAGATGATAATATGTCAGCATAGTGTTTACAGCTTGTTTCAGCATGTGGACTGAGGGTTTATCACAGCACTTCCTTTTTTTCCTGGAAATGGCTCCCAGTGGGACATTGTTAATGTACGTGCAGTAAATTAAAAAACTGTGATAATTCCTGATAATTTTGGCAACACAAGCGAACAACTCCTCACTAATTGATTACCTGACAACAATTTCAATACAACTAGTGTGGCAATGCCGATGTGAACATATCCTCGCGTGTGAATTAAAGCTAGGGTTGGTAATCCTGGAAAAGCTTCAATATGCAGCTGATACATCCCACCCCCTCCCATCGGCCCTTATTTCAAATCTATACCCTCATGAAACAAATCAGTAACCCTTTCTTTAAGTAAGACACTGCCATTGTTTGTAGAGCCTGCAGAATAGTTGCACACATGTTGCAGGGGTGGTCTCTGTGGCAGCCATCTTTAAATGCATAGTCATTATCATCAGGATCTCTGAAGTCCCCTGGCACACCCAACTCCCCTCTAGAGTGTGTCAATGATCAAAATCCATTGTTTTTATTCTTTGAGACGACCCTGACGACCTCTGGGTGTGAACATGTGTGTCTGTGTGACTGTGACTAGCTGTTATTTTGCGCTGCAGATGAAACCCATGTGTGATGAACCCCATTAGCTGAGACAAATTAAGGATATCCCATTTAATGATCTTTAAGTAAGTAAAAGGAATAAAAGCCTTATTTGTGTATATGCGATGGCAGCTTTGCTTCCTTAAGATCCTGAGGTAAAGTGTCTTTAAAGCCGTGACAGGCCGAAACAGAAACCCCTTTGTTTCCTCTATAGGACTTTTTTCCATGCACATGGCTTCCAATTTCCTTGGTTCAAACAGGGTGAGTGTTCTCATGTTGAAACTCTAACTCGGATGCTGTATTGCTTTCTAGGGCTTTTATGGCCAAAAGCACGTCAATTACGAGCCGCATCCCCGCCCTGTGCGACAGCGGGAGGTTATGTCCAAAATATACAAATAATATTGAGGTCTCTTTGGATTGCCTGCAGGCACAGACCTATGAATAGCAACCGTGCCGTTTCAAAGCGGAGCAATTATGCCAGGCCGGGCTGGACGAATCCATTCCTGCAGACTTTTTAAATGCTTCTGGCCAATTATAGGCTAAAGTCAGTGCATGCTCCCCTGAAAGCTACACTGCCTATCTGAGGTGTAGCCTTCATCGTCTGATCGGGCTGTATGCCCTGAGAAATCTTTGTCTTTCTTTCTTGGTTTCTCTCTCTCGCTCTCTGTCTCTCTCTCTCTCTCAATTATTTCTCCCTTTCTTTTACCTCCACCAGTAAGATACTCCAATTATTACCGAGGAGCCCCCCTGCACCCAGCACACCTCCCTCCCTGTTCGCATCATACTCCACGTGATCATAACCAGCTGCTGGTGAGAGAGAGAGAGGGAGGGAGAGAGAGTAAGAGAGTGAGAAAGAGGGAGAGAGAGAGAGACAGAGAGAGAGGGAGGGATAGGGAGAGAGAGAGGGAAAGAGAGAGAGAGAGAGACCAACTCGCTGTGACTCTGAACACACGTACAAAGTGAACGGGAGGACCGCTCGGTGCGCGCAGGAGAGCCGCTCGTCTCACCCGTGGATACTATTACACATCTGCCGCCGTCTCCAGACCCTGTCCTTGGGATACTCTGGCTGCATCCTCTCACTTTTACACTTCTATCACCTCCTTCCTTTTTCTTTCTTTCTCATCTTCCCTCCCGTCTTCCTCCTCATCCCCCCCGAGCATCCCTCCTCTCCTCCTCGCCAAGTCCTCTCGCCTGCCTGGATAACTTTTTTTTTTTTGCACCCTCCTTCATCGCTCACCCACACCCTCGCCAGTCTCACCCCCGCCACGTCCTGCTCTTGTTGCAGCAGCCTGCCTGCCTGCCTGCCCTCCCTTGGATCGGGCGGAACCCGCATTCGGTCGGTCTACTACACGGGGCACTGCTACATGGGGCGCACGGTGTCGCCGCACGGAAAATGGTCTGCTGTCGGTCTCTAGGCGCCCCGCTGAACCTGTCGGGATTGGAGTTGTTGTCGGTGCGCGTCCGCGTCTCTCCCCCTCCTCGCCCGTGCCACTGCCGGGGCCAGTGAGACATGGGTCTGTCCGTGGCGGCGCAGGCACCGTCCGCGGAGCCCCGGCGGCTGCGCCAGTGGAGCGGCGCGGCAGGAGGCTGGCTCCGGATCACGCTCATCTCGTTCCTCGCCACTTTACCTGTGGAGCAGCTGCGCGCCTTCCCGTCCTCCCTCAGCGACTGCCAGACGCCGACCGGCTGGAACTGCTCCGGTGAGAGTGAATGCATTCAGGGGCAGAGTTGCAGCAGCCTCTCCTGTTGTTTGTTTGTTGTGGTTTTTATGTTTGTGCGCATGCAGCGACCGTGCCCGGCTGCAGAGCCGGTGCTGTGGAGCATTTTTCTGGCTGCAGATATCAAACGCTGCTAAGCTCCACGATGAGAGGATGCAGAGTTTTTGGGGGGGAAGCTGCTTGATGCGGATTTGTTGAGTTTGTGGCGGCGCACGACAGCGACACGTCCGAATAAACACTCTGTTAGAAGATCCATTAAAACTAAGTGAAAGCAGCGACATTAGGATCATTTCCACATGTATGAGGAGGGGACGATGGTCAGTTTTAGACTACAGGCAAACATACTTAACTTTAAGGGATCTGATCAACTCGACTGTCTATTTCATTTGTGTGATCGCTGGTGTTAATTCCCTCAATTCTACAACAGGCGGAATCCCACAGAGTGATCGGGCTGTTAATCAAGTTTCAACGCTTTTTGGGCAGCTCGGTTGTTTCGTTTCTGTAAAGTATAAACGCAGATCGTTTCTTTAACAGCCTGTAAAGTTGTTTCTCCTCCGCGGGGAGAAAGCAGCGGACGAGGGGCTGCAGAGCTCACAGCGCCTCGCCTTCCCTTTCTGTAAATCAGACTGACTGTGCCTCCATATATTCCCCCTGCCGCCCCGTGTCCAAGTCGGAAGCCTTAAAATAGCTCCGAGCCGATTCTACACACTCACAAGTATTGATATTGCAGCCACACGTCAAACGCCCACTGAGAGTCCTGCCTTTTTTCCAGCCAGAGACAGAGCAGGCCCACCAGTGGGCTGCACTTAAATATCTCAATAAAAAAGGGGCATTATTTTCATCTTGTATGGGAACATCATGTAAAGATCCTTTACAGTGACATGCATCTGGCAGCAGATTAAAAATAAATTAACACTCCACTTTCCACTAATACAAAACCTCCCTGTCACAAAATTGGGATCTCATCAAAGTTTTCAAAATTGATTAATTTAACTAAGATTGTTGGCTACTTAAAACAGCTGAATTCATTTTTAGATTCAAATAATCTGCAAATGATGAAATATGATTTTTAAATTACTGTGACCTAAAACATTTGTCATTATTTAATCACATGTTTCTATCTAGTATTTGATCGTTTTAAAACTGAAGCTTTAGTTGCCGTCCAGGTCTGATTGGTTGTCGAGACAGTTTTTGCCTCAGAGTATTTCTTCGAAGAATCCACAGCAAATGTCAATGGCAGTGATTATTGAGCTGATCTGTTGGAACATTTCTGAGATTCACCCTGGTATTTGGACATTCTGACCTCCATGCCACACCGTAGGTCTGGTTTCTGCTGTTGCTGCTGTTGATGGTGGCGATGATTGGTTTGTAGTGATCGATAACGGTATGCATGCCCCGTCCAAATAACACATTTGCCTACCTCCCCACTTCCTGACACACTCTCGCATGCATTTCGGCGAAGGCTTTTATCCAACACGCCTTGAGGAAGCTTAAGTGCATGCACTGAGCTTCACACACAAACACTCACACACACACACGTGCACGCAAACGCATGCACCCGGCACCAGTTAAATTTAATTGAAGACAACAAGTGAAGATAAGCCCCCTTACATAGTAATACTACTACTAATAATAATAATAATAATACAACTGACAGTAACTCCCAGGGCTTATTTATTCACCTGTTCCTCATATCATGCACTTTGAAAACATCAGCATTGAGTGACGGTTTGGTGATGAGTTCAGTGTCATTTCACTTGTGAGCAGCAGTTTCCTGACAATCGGGTACCAGTTTCAGCCGTGGTGCCTTTGAACGAGCGCTGAATGAGATTCTGTTCCGCGGAATAAAACAGATGGACAAAAGACTTGGTGTGACAAAGCTTGCCATTCTGTTTGCCTGACATCTGTTGATGGCCTTGAAAAACATCCAGTGAGGGCTCCACTGTGGGAGAATAAGTAATTATAATTAATGCGAGGGCCAAAGTTGCATAGATTTTTGAAAATTGCGTTCGTTCTCACTATCACTGTTTTGCAGATAAATTATATTTAGATGGTACATTTGGATGCAATGTACACATAGCCCAAGTGTCAAGGTAAAACCTCACAAGATTAAATGATGACTGTCGAAAATTCATTGACAGCGGAGATGCCGACATTTTTTCTTTATATTGATTGGTAATCCCCTTGTGTAAACGGCAGCAAGGTTTCAAGAAAGCTTCAACCTCTGTTTTCTTTTCTTTCTGTTTTGAGTTTGCATGTTCTCCCTGTGTCTGTTTTCTCTGCGTACTCCAGCTTTCTCCAAAAGTCCTAAGACATGCATCAGATTCTCTAAATTGCTCAAAGGTGTGAGTGTGAATGTGAGGGTTGTTCCTGTATGGTCTGCCTAAAGCACAAGCAGTATAGGGCCTAACTAATGAATGGATGTATGTTTACTGCTTAGTCCTGAACCACCAAACTATGTTCTTTTTCAGAATGAGACCAAACCCTACGGCAGTATATGTATACTACATGCTTGAAGTATAAATATATTATACTTCATACTTTTACTATTTGACATTTTTCCAGAGCAACTGTAAAGGTGTTAAATATGTGCTTCCTCTGCAGCTGAACATGTTTTCTATGGAGAGTAGAGAACATGAGGTTATCATACACCCTCTGAGCACTGCTACTTCTTCAGGACAAACTGCTAGTTAGCATGCTAACTTTGGTTGAGGGAAAGAAGGGAATTAGAATCTAAACAATAACTAATGTTAGACTGGTAAGACAGATGTTTATGCCAGTTGAAATACAGCAAAACAATTGAAATAATACCTTTGAACCCAGGTTAAGTGTTTTTGGCCAACTGGGGGCATCATAAAGAATTAGTAAATGTAACTCTGCCAAACTAACATATTAGTAATTTAAAGTTGATTTGCACACAGCAAATATCTGCTTATGACACATCCATCAGATTTGGAGTAACATTCTGTGTTGTGTCCTTGGTCTTTACCACCTCCTCATTGAAATATCTGACTAACTTAACTTTGCGTCTCTTTAATCCTGGCCTGCAGGTAGAGCAAAGAGGTTTATCAAATTGTTTTTTTTTTTTGTTTTTTTGCTGAAAACAGCTTCCTGCTGCATCAGGAAACAGTTCTGATGAAAGCAGTGAAAGTCAACCAGAACAGTATGGTACGGGCCATAAAACCAAAGTAATGCGCGCAAAGAGGCTGAAGACTCAGTTGAGGGGAACTGCAGATCCTGTGATTCCTCTCTGCAGGTTTATCACTTTGAGTGACCACTTTCAACTAGTCATTTACATTAATTATACAAAGATATTGATTAATGCAGCCATAACAAGCTAACACTTGCTATATTAGGAATGTGGTGGTTAAAGTAATGTAATAGTATTATCTAAATGTTGGTATTCCCGTAGTACAGTTTCTGTAAGCGAGCACATTTAAAAAAACTAAAAATGTTCCAGCCCAGGTATTCAACAGTTATTGTTGTTATCACAGTCAAACCTTTGATGCCCTGTTACCTGTGAGATTTGGCCTGTATCATACCCTGACTTTAATCGGTGCATTTCTACAAACAGTCAGCTCATGTCATTTTGACATTGTTTTTATCCACTGAGAAAAACAAGTTGATGCACAGAATGTTAATGTTCTTCTTTCGCCAAATGCCTGCTTAAGTAGCACTACCAGAATTGTTACAGATTGTAGTATTTGAGTAGGTGGTATGGATGTGTACCCACAGTTTTTTTAGCCTTTTATATACATTACATTTCATGTGAGGGAATTACTTTGAGGTTGCCACAATCCCCTCTTTACTCAATCCCCTGCGATAGTTAACTCTGAAAGCCCATGTGATGCTTTGATAGTAGAAGTGACAGGGATAAGCACAGAATATGCAAAGCCCCCTGTAAATCCTATCAAGCATATAGAATGACTAGTAGTCTTGGGAGAATTGTCCATATGCTTTCTGTCAACACAAAGGTCAAAAAAACTTCTCTTGTATTCAGGTTCCACGTAACTGAGAGAAAACAGAAATAGAACAGTATAAGCTATGAGATAAGGAAGTATTGGCAAAGTCAGGGACATGAAAATATACTAATTGATAGCTGTTTTAAGGGAGAGCTTTTCATTTTAACTTTTACTGCCTTACTTTCTGTGCTTAGTGTGATGTGAGTGCCTGGAGTTATTGGTCCTTTTAATAAGAATAATGGGGGATTAACTATAACTACTTCCATGACAAACATTTAAAGACCTGTTGCAAAGGTAAAG